GGAATAGACCAAGGTGTGTGAAGATGATGTACATGAAGGTCAGAAATCCCTTACGATGAGCGAAACGGTGAGGTTGTGGTGTACGTGTAACTCGACTTCTTTTGAGCATCATAGGGCTGTTGTGTGCACCGGCGGTCAACGGGGCGAAGCTTCTATGCTGCTTCTAAGAATATTCGATTTCTGATTGCCAAGATTGTCTTCTTGAGCACATACCCAGGTGTTTTCATGCATGCTCACACTAAGGCTATTCCAACGCCTTACTCCCAGTTCCTACAGCCCATAATTACAAAGTCAGACATGCAAACGTCTCATATGCCAACATCATGTTTCCGTAAACCAACGACCGTAAAGCAATCAGCCCTCCATTTTAACATCCGTCTCCCTTCCGAGATTCTTCAGCAGGAAACTGCGCTTGAAGTACTCGTTGGGGTGGACAATGGTCTCGAGCTGTTGTTGTGTCATGACGCCCTCATCCTTGGCCTTCTTGATCTCTTGCTTGTGCAGATGCTCAAATACACTGTGATCGCAATTAGTATATATGCTGTTCGAGGAATGAGTATAGACTTACCGATTGCACGCCATGTGGAACTTTTGCTTATCCTTATCCTCTTTAACGCCCTGAACAACAGAGCGATCATTAACACCCATAGCTTGAACAAGTGCTGAGAGGTTCTCCATGTTGAAATGCCGATATGGGCATCCGTGGGCCTCACCAGGACCAGGAGGATGTTCGGTGAGGATCTTCTGACAACTGAATGGACTGTAACCACCACCTCTTCGGTTGGAATCACCACCGACATCACCATAAACGTGACGAATATTATATCTGTACTCCTTGTTGAACTTATCATCTGTGATCTTGTGGAAGCTCTTTCTCCAGAACACAAGACACTCCTCCAGGTTGAGGCCAATCCCCTTGAGAAAGAGAGAGTACTGCAGTCGACCATAGTGTTTGAGATGAGCGTCTCGGCGTAGTGAGCGGTGCAAGTGAGACATGCAGGCTGGGAAGTGTTGTGATAAGTTGTCGATGTTGGCAGCGCTGATCTCGGCGCCGGGCACAGCGGCGGTGCTGGACATGTATGATGCGTCGGGGGTGATGAAGTTCTTGGAAAGATGGTTGAGGATTGGTGTGAGCCGGTCGTCCTCGTCAAGTCGAGGAAGAGCACGGGCAGTCAACTACGCGCTGTCAGTTCAGATCTTGGCAACAGGTTTTCAGTTGCTGTACCTCAAGTTGTCGCTCCAGTCGCGAGCTGAACTCCGAAACCACCATACCAGCCTGTTCTCGGCCCGGTACAAACGCCTTTCCGGCCTTCAAAAACACTCTTCGGCTCTCAATTAGCTCGGGAACCCGTTCCCAGTCTACCTTGAACCATGTATCGTCGTCATTCTCACTCTTTCGGTTGCTAGCAAAGGCAGCCAGCTCCGCGGCATACTCCCTCCTATCCTCATCTGTTACGTCTTCACACCAGTCTAGGCCAAGAGTCTTGACAAAGGCAGATCGCTCGGCGAGATCGTCATCATTGAGTCGCAGGCGGAAAAGCATCGTCTCGACACGTGTGAAGCGACGGCGCAGATCTTCAGTAGACGAGAACGCAAGTCGGAGGATGAAATGGCTGTAGTGGTCTTTTTGGCGTTGCTCAAAGATCTTCTTGGAGCCTGAGCTGTTGGCCTCGAGGTGGAGGTGCTTCTTGAGGATGGGCTTCATGTGTGTTGCAGTCTCGGCAGGAGTCTTGTTGCGAAACGAGCAGGCTTCGAGTTCAGCGAGAACTACCGAGTATTAGATACGCCCACTATCACAATTTCCCGCAGCCTACCTCGGAGTCTGTCGATGGCCCATTGCTCAAACTGCTCGAGGGTGATATCCGCAGTGGGAGGATCTGTGTAAAAGTTGAGACGATGGGGATAGTCGAGATCTTTGTATGTAGGCGCCGCGAATTGCTTCTTGCGATGGTCAACGACATTTCGCCTCTTGGGATCAATTCGGCTAAAGTCTTGCCGCAACATGATTTCGTTGTCTGTTGAATGTCTGTATCGATGGAGTGGAAATTGGACAAGGAGTGGAATTGGTTAGCAAAAGGCATAGAGAGGGAGACGCGACTTTACGCGTCTGGCGTCGCGGGGTGGAGCGGGCAATTAAGGGCCAGCAGTCCCAATCAGAAGCGCGCGAGGTGTTCCCCAGGTGATTTTGGCGCACAAGCGCACGATTTACTTGGCTCCATCAACCAAACAATGTAATTAACTAACAAAGAAGGTTTTGTTCTTAAACCCAAGCGTTCAAACATTCAATTAATATCTACAATAATCAAGTCATTTAAAATTATATTTAACGCGAAAACAGAAACGATTTTGTATCTGAATGACCTGTCACCATGCTCTTCAAGAGGTAGTCGATGACCTTAGTTGGAGCTAACTGTTGTTCCAATTCCCCATCATTCACAAGTGAAGTACTCATGCTTATCAACAACACATATTGAATCATACGCCCTGCACCTAGCTTGAGCCATGCCGGTTCAGCTCAGAAGAAGGCCTGGAGCATCGGCACCCAAGACCTGTTACTCTACAACTCAATTCAGAGTCCCCTCAACAGTGTGGACGAGCCTCAACCAGCCATTGTGTATTAGCGACTCATCCTTCGAGGTTGCTATTGAGAACCTTTCAGGCTCTGCTCTTCTATTCAAGCTGCCCCCTGAGGTTCTTACCATGATCTTCGACCAAGCGCCACAGGTGGACAAGATCATGTTAGCGATGACCTGCAAAAGTTTACTCGCCACTTCGCGGCTGTGCGGCCTTTCTGTACCTCTCCGTGAATCGCACATGGCCACTTGGAATAGATCAGACTCTTCATCCTCTGTAGTGTTATGCTCATGTTTGAACATGGGCGACTTATTCCGAAGGTTTCGGCCAAGGGACGCCCGTGGTCGACCAAGTAGGGCATGGAGTTGGTGCCTAGACTGCTGTAGGTATCTCCCGACAAGACGAGGATGGTGGCAACGTCGAATGAGAAATGAGATTGCTATGGTATCTCGAGATGGGCGTGAGCTTAGTATTGGTTGGTTCAGTCGCGGAGTCAAACAGCAGTGTCCTATTTGTTACCTGAAAGACGTCCAATAGTTTCAATAACGAAGTTAAAAGATGGAGATGATATCAACAAGAATATACTTTTGGTGGGCCTTTCTTATGATCCTTTAACATTCATTTTTGAGAAAATAAACGAACACAAACCTCCGAAATAGAAGTTGCGTTCAAAGTTCTCACGCTTATGCATTGCTAATACAAACACTACAACTGAAGCGGCCCAGTTCTCAGTTACAAGATACAACACTATATCTAAGTAGATAAAAGTTCTCGAAATAATAGATCAATTACCGCTACTGCGCACTGAAATGGTGTTAAACAGACTCATGGGCCTCGAGTAATTAGGGAACATAGTTGTGATGAATGCGAAGAAACAAGCGGTGCCATCATATTCCTCTTGTCTCAGTGGATGTCCGGCGATTAACTTTCACAGAGACGTAAGGACTTCCAACCACCATTATGCGCTCGTTTCTAAACTTTTAGAGAGTCCACTCAGTCCTTGACCCGACTAATCATCCTGTACAATTACCAATCCCCCCTTCCCTTAACAGACCTCAGAACACAGCGAGTGCATTTTAGGTATATTCTTTGTACTGCACGGATTGGTATTGAGTTATGCGTTGCACGGAAGTATAGATCGGTTCCTTTTTGTTTTGCTGCAGGTTGATGAGCTTTGGGAGTAGGTACTGCAATAAGCATGCAGCATTTTGCTGCATAATTCTAAGTGCAGTCTTATAACATGTACCTCTGTGTAGTGACATGTATCGCCATCGTGAGGCTTAGATCTACCTGTTGTCAACTATCCATACCTACCAAGATTGAGCTTTGTTAGAACTGTCTAGTAGATGCTTGTTGACGTAGATAGATATCTTAGCTTGATGCAAACCATGCTGCTCTTCAGGCCTCCACTGACAAAGAACCCTTTGTGTATCGATCTGTCTCCGTAATCAGTTAGCTAGAGGCAGTGATTGCTAGATCTAGACCACTCGACCGAGGGCTGAGGTGGGTGTCGGTCCCTGATGAATGCGACGGGAGGGAGCAACGGCTGCTAGAGCGCCTCTCGCTCCCGAAGAAGTGGAGATAGCCGGGCGCTTATGGGGCACGTACATTTTACAGGGGCGGGCGGTAGGTGGCTTTCATTTCTGTAGGGCTGAAGAAGGAATGGAAACCAACAAATGTTACATGAATGTCAAAAGACTGGCATGATTTACCATGATGGCAATAAATGCGTATTTATCTTATATGAATGAAGGAGTTTGAAAAAACAAAAATGAGCCGATGTATAAGCACAAGACACCAGGACTAAGATTATCGCAAGGCATACTCACATCATCCATCCGTCGAGGTAGGTATCCCATGACTTGTGACTCTGGGTTCCCTACGACATGGATGACTCGAGGAAACGGCCCCCACCCTAGAAACGCGTGTGGCATGGATAATACAGTACATTAGCACAGATGTAAGGTGAGATATCGCTAAATAAGTTCTAGGAGGGGGGGAGACACCATGTTGAAACCGTCTTACCTTACTCCGTCAGTACCTAAGGTAGGGTACTGTCACACTCTCACTGGCCCTACGGGGCTGGGCTGAATGGGACAGACTGGGGTGATCCCTCAAGGCTGCCTCATCCAGTCTGTGCCGTGCCGCGCTGCGCTGCGCTGATGAGAGGGGATTAACAGACAGGGTTTGGGCCTAAACATGTCAAACCTTGAACATTAATTAATTACCTGCCTTAAATCCATTTCTACTTGCTCGGCTTCATCTTCATCTTTAATGTGACGTCTTTCCTCACTCTCTCTCCCATAAATCTTCATATGGGACCTTGCTTCGTTGACAATTACTCATTCGCAACTGCCGCGTCAGCACCACATCCTTTCCTCAGTCAGCCTTACCACCGCAGACCGTAACCCACCAGAAATGCTATGATGGCTACCTCAAGCGTCTTCTCCGCTCGGCGTCGCACGTCGCCCGGTGACTCTGACGACACCGATATGAGCTTCCCTCGCTGCGCACCCGGAAGACGTATTCCCAGCTCGGAATGGGAGAAGATACGCCCAGTAATCACGAAGCTCTACCAGGAAGAGAAGCGCCCGCTCAAAGAGGTCATGGAAGTCCTCGAGCGTGAGCATGGCTTCACTGCAACGTGTGTAAACCTCTTCGTCTCTTCCTTAAAGTCTCGAGTGTTGACTCTTTTGGCAGTGTCAAGATGTACAAATCGAGGATTTGGAAGTGGGGTCTTGATAAGAAGCTCAAGAGTGATGAGGTTCTCGCCATTCTTATCCTGAGGACCGAGCGTGAGGCGCAGGGAAAGATATCAGAGTTCACTATTCGTGGCCAACCAGTCGATCTGGATAACATAAACAGATACATCCGGCGGAATCCAGGCCTTGTGGCGCGCTTCAGAGCGGGTGTTGTGCCCAGCATCCAGACGACTCTCGAGGTCCAATGTCGAACACCATCACCAACACCGAGTCGTCACTCGTTGCCACCACCGAAGGAGATTTCCAACGTCGAACAGGTTCTCAATCTATTCAGGGATTACTTCGATACCTCTTTCACCAACGGAATATGGAACCATGAATATAACGGTGACTGTGTCAGCCTAAGGCCTGGCGACCGAAGCGTTGAGCTGTTTGAACGTGTGGTCGCCAGCTTTGGTCTTGTCAACAGGTCAATGATGAGAAAAGACGAGATCTCAATAAGCACTCTCCTCACTCCAGCATTTGAGTCGCTCAAGGAGATAATCGCCTCCGAGAGCCCAGTCTTCGCAGTACGCACAGCTTTCCTCTTGTGGTATCTCCGTCGCTTTCACAAGGAAGACCTTCTTCACATTGTCATGAACTACCTCGCTGGCTTGGTACCTATTGTACTGGGTCACGATCACCCGGTGACACGAATCTGGAAAATTATTGGGTCTCAGGACTTCTCCGATCATTATGAACTCTCCACAAGGCTTTACTCTTCTCTCGTACCTCTCTTTGAGGAGCGAATTGGGTTCGCCAACTCCCTGACCACAATTTTGTACTGCGATCACATCGATTGCCTTGTCCATCATGGCCAAACAGCAGAGTCACTTAGTGTCGCTACACAATACAGAACACGGGCAGAAGCCACGCAATTACGACATCCTTGGCTCCGCGAACTTGCAATCTTACAAACAGGCATCATGTGCAATGCGAAAACAGCCGAGGGCAAGATAGAAGAGGCAATGCAGTGTCTTCAAACACTAAAAGATTGGGACCTGAACGAAGAACAACAAGCCGGTATGAACATTCAACTCGGCAACTACGGCTATCAAATGGGCGACTTCTCCTTGGCAATCAATTGCTTCCGCGAAGCATCTCGCCTCATAACCGCCAGCCAAGGCGACGAGAGGATCCATCTCACATGTCTCGCAAACCTCGAGTCTGCACTGCGCAAAAGCGGAGAGGCCGACGAGGCAGCCCAGGTGCATGAGCTACGACTCACACGATTATCAGACTTTGCCAGGGAGACTGGCACCTTTGCAAATCTGCCTGAATCCTGCGCTGCGGCCGTGAGCCCGGGGGGTATTTACAGCTGGGAAGCTCAGCAAGTGTCTGATTGGCACTGGAGTGAGGATGGGCACGGTAGTGCGATGCCTCCCTTGGGATTGACATGATGCCCGCAGCATCTGCTTACTGCATTGTGTTTCATCATACAGGGGGGTTCTACACGATATGAAATATGACTCTGCGTATATATATTGAGCGAGGATTTTGGGGGTTTAACGCTTTTACGACTAAACATTTTGTTACGACGAAGACACTATCAGGAATGAATTCAAGAGACAAAGAGGGAAATCTCTGCTCATACTGAGAATCCAGATGTTTGACAGAAGGATCAGTCTAGAAGACTAGCTGGTGGGCATCTTGGACGAAAGCGGTATCATTTTTCGAGGCCACAACTGGCGACCTCCCGGGGCTGTGTATATCAGTCTAGTGAAGCGGAACCTTATCATTTATCTTTAAAGACTTTATCCATCTTATAAAAGCTTATTTTATTGTTATTGACTCTCTCTTTCATGATGTCAAATGGGTAAGGGCAGAGTAGCATCATGATGTTTTGCGCGGGGGATGGTCTGGCGTTTGCAGCGAGGCAACAACCTCAACTGTGTGGCCATTGGCGGCAGCATGTCTTGAATAAAATACCCCTGCATTAGTGGCCGTTGAACATGACTTTTTGTTGTGTTGTCGGGTTCGTTGTGGCATATGCTTGTGAGTGTTGGGTTGCATACTTGCGATCTTCTTGGGGATGCTTGACGAACAATGCAGGCAGGCAACAACGCAATGGATTCAGAAGTGAGATATCACGACAGTTTATCTATATACCGTACATGTTCAGTAAGTAGCGCTCTTTTTAAAGCCACTGGCTCAGTTTAGTAGCACCTCGACAGTAGCGGCATGAGGAGAAGTCTATATCCCAGAACCATCGACCTCGTGGTCTCTATCTCGAGTAAGACACAAGTTGTTGTGCCTCTGATAAGTAATAAGAGACCTTATACAGTACTTTAATAAACACGAGTATTTTAGTATAATTGTAGAAAAGGCCGTGATGGAAGCGATTGCTCTAGTTTAAGCGTCTTCTTTGCAAGCGAACTGTCAATAGTTAAGCCACTGTTGAACGACAGACATACAGACTAATTACAACCTCATTCTTCAGCAACATCCGGTATGGTGTAGTGGCTAACATTTCGCGCTCTCATAACCTGGGGGATTAGTACCGCGGAGCCCAGGGTTCGATTCCCTGTACCGGAGTTTCTCTTTTGCCCTGGTTTAATATTAATAATAATATCTTTATCTTCATTTATTTTTATATATAAAAAGTAATTAATTTACTTATAATTATAAAATAGAGATTTTGCACCTGCCTGTCCTTGCCTAGATCTTTTAGATCTTTTGCAATATATCTATTCTATTATGTCTTATGCCAAGGCAGACATTTATAAGTGCAGTGCAATAGTGTCAAAGAGAGTATGCAATGAGTGTAAGCTCTATGGAATACCGCCTAGCAAAAACAATTCTGCGAAACGTGTTCCCTGGCTGGTTGTCTCCATCTCACGATAAATGTTGACTTACAGTGTGGTCACAACTTCAACGTACAGATATGTAAGTGACGACGGCGTCCCCTGACGACTGGATAAAAAAGCCTATCCAAAAACGTGTTGAACCTTTTCAGAAGGATACCACGGTGTTTCAGCGCCTGGTATAATTTGTCATTTAGATGGTCAGTAGAATTATAAGTAGTGTCGCTGCAAGTAAGCCAATAATGTCAGCGGATGGACCATGTGGTCGAGGCAGAGGATCAGATCCAAGGGTAACGAATTTCGGAGGCGTGAAAGAAGCTCGAACTGACAAATGATGGATGTGTGCTCGGTGACGCGAGTGGTCGGAAAGGATCTACGGCACGGCGCGGCATTCAAGTATGTTCGTTCATGGTGCAATCAATCGTCTTACTCATTTGAGACGCTTCCTTGGGTGACATCAAAGGCGTTATTGGTCGGAGTGTACCAAGACTTGGCAAAGCGAACATTCCGTGGAGTTTACTCACGGTGAGTGAGGTGAGGGTAGTATTTTACGGACGCCGAAGGACCCGGAGGGGTTTCGGCAGTCGAGAGACCGGAGGCCCGGAGCGGAGGGATCGGGCGATGACATAGAAGAGCGGTACATGTGACGACTCATGAAGTTGCAGTTATCGACGTCATGACAGAGCAAAAAGTGACAAGGGGTGAGGGGACCAGTTTGCAATGGAATCAAGGGACGATCGCAGGAATGCGTAGGAATGGAGCGGGTGGGCGATTATAGGGCTCTTAGTGGCCGCCTTGGTGGGCTCTCTGCAGCGGCAGTGGGATAGGGCGGCGTGGCAGCGGGGATTGAGAGTGGAGAGAGTTGGAGAGCTTCAAGATAGAAAGAGAGAGACCAGAGAGTGTTTTGGTTTTTGGTATGGATTTTGGTGAGGGTTTAATGTTTGCCTGATACCAGCGTCAATACAAGAGCAAAAGGATCCAATGCAAGTAATGAATAGCCGACAGGTGGGTGATACACATAAAACTGAAGCCGGCGCTTTTTGTCACCATCATTACTGCGCGACCATCTGTGTTTCGCTTATGTTGAATCCTGGTTCCCTCTCTCGGGATGCCACAAAGAGACAGCAAAGGTCGAGGAAATATGGGGCAATGCATGCAGGTGTAACGAAGCAACACAGCGCCAAACGTTACTTTGCAGATAAGCCCCTGTAAGTTAAGTGTAAAGTACTGAAGTGTACTGTATTAGGTTCACAATGTTCTGTAATTTGCGTCTGTCTTCACTGTCTCAACTGAGTCAATTAGTTCGCTATCAGATCTGTCTGAGCTTGCCTCCCCGAAAAGCTAGGTTTGTTTGGTAAACTTAATTGCCTAAACTCTACTGAATTCCCGTAATCCCCCCCCTCGTATAGTCTTTGCTAATTAGTGGAAATAATCATATAATAAGTAGAATACGGAATAATTAATATTGAGGCTCGTGTTATAGATGATATACTCGTGTAGTCTGTCAGCTGTCAGCGCTTCCATGTGCTTGGGCATTCGGCTTATTTGTTGGGTGGTGGTATCTAAGATATCGTAACGTTAATATCATCAACCTCCACACCAATTTCATGAATCATCCACCCATTCATTACCCATTCCAACACGGGATGCAGAGTCCTTTTTGACCTTCTGTTTCCACCGGATCTTTTGTTTCTTACCTTATCTGCAATCAATCTGCATCTTCAATTGAGGGAAATCTTTGACCCTAGGACAAAATCTTCTCCCCAGGAAATTACAAGTCCATGCACTCCCGGCCCAGCTCAGCGTGACCTCTAATTTCACCACGCCACGCCCAACAACATACCATATCCGTAAAAGTGACCGTATTGCAATATTTGACGTTCCTGCACGAGACCAATTGTCCTGGTTCCCAAGCTCTCGAGTGTGTCTTGGCCACTGCTACTGCTACAGTTACCGTTGCCGCATACTTAGGTATCTGTAGCTCCCTGCACCTCATTAAAGGTGCCGTCACTTCAATTGTACACCATCGCCTGCACAACATCAACGAGCGTCGACGACTCAGCAAAACAGAGTTTACCTGGATCCGATTTCAACGCAAACCTAACTTAATCCCGGCCTCAAACCCCTCCTTTTCCTCTCGTCTCCGAACAGAGTACATCCACCCTACCATCCATCTACCTAGCAATAAGAATTCCATCGTGTGCAGGTAACTTTGGAAGCGCTCAACGCTGCAGGGTTACCTAAAGCTACTATCGACTTATCACTGTGACGGCCCCAATTTTCCTCACCTGCTGCCAAAGCTTCGAGCAGAGTCTAGTGGATGAACTCCCGCGGTGATAAACAAGGTCAGTTCCTCTCCAATGAGGTAGAACTCTAGGAAGAAAGATACAAAGAGAAGGAAAGCGGATTGATCTAAAAGCGAGTTCAAACACAAACAGTCGAGAAAGGAACAAAAAGACGACACAGCGAGACGAGTTCAGACGGAAGGAGTCACAGACAGGAAGGACCCGCTCCGATCCCCGGTCAATCTCTACAGGTAGGCGGTGCTAACCTAGCACATCGCACCTGCACTTGTGCTAGTGGAGGCTAGCTAGTCCTTGAAGCTAGTGGCAGTCACGCCCTCCAAGTGCGGTGCCCCTCGGAGCGCAAAAAGACCCAAGACCTCGGGTTAGGGGGCTAAAATAATCAGGTAAGGCAATCATCAACATCTCCTATTGTATCACAGACATTGCCCAGATATTTCTGTCACCCATGATCAGCTCGTCAGTTTTCTATCCATCCCTTCCCTTAGGGAGCCTGTCTTGTGCTTCTCACAGTTCAAAGGTCAAAGGCCTGGCCTTCCATGCTACTGCTGTAGTACTGTTCTGTTCTGTGCTGTGCTGGACCCACGAACGATCAACCACCCAAATCTTGGCTGTTCACGTCGATCTCGACTCCTTTGACTTCTCCTCTTCTTTCTTTTCTGTTCTTCTCTTTCTCCTGTTCTCGCTCTGTTTGAGCGACACTGTCGACACATTCACCCTCCCTCCTCTGAACGACGTTTCGAATCGCCTCTCATGTTCGCGTTATAGAAGAGCCTTTGGCCAATTTCTCCTCTTCCTTCCGCCGTTCTCCTCGTCCTTATAAACGAACCCCTTGGACTCCTTCAACTCGATCAACGCTCCCTCAACCAGCATCGCCAAGCCCATTCCTTAGCACCGTGCTCCCTTGACGCATTCGCATTCCCCCAGAGTTTCCCTTGCGCCAAGGTACGTTCCTAAGGTCTTCAAGATCTCATAATTGCCTTGTCTCTGAATATCAACACTCGTCACCCCACCTGAATTTCGGAATCCAGCGACTTAGCCAATTCCATTTTCGTACTCATCTCATTCGCAGCAGGCTGACAGCCAATTCAGCAGTCTCGCGATCTAAACAAACGACGATTGCTCAACTTTCCCCCTCCTACAAATTCGCTAGACCTTAATCTGGTTCTAAGCGACTCCGACGACCCGACAGCGCGGAGCCATGAACACGCCCCACGCCCCCCGAACTGCGACGGCCCTGCCCCTCGACGACAACTCTCAAGATACAGGAAACAACTCTTTTAGAGGCCGTGA